AACATCCACTACTCCGATTATGTCGAGGACCAACGATTCATTTCCAACTAAAGAGGATTCAATGCCAAAATCAACATGAGCGACAGAAGGAACAAACCTATCCCGACTGCAAGGGTAAAGCCTTCTCATGAAAAATAACATCAACTATGGGGTTCTCATCTGAAGCAATATGGATTGCAATAGCAACATTTTTATCACCCCCATCCAAATCAAAACCAACCACGTTAGGCACAGGAATATTAGCTAAAGGAGGATTAACACCTTCAGTAGCGATTGCCTCTTTAACAGAAGGAGAAACACCCAAATTCGGATATTGGGTCAGACAACAATTCTGAGGACCCAAAGATTTACAATGAAAGCAATTCAAATAAAATTCATCCATTTCAACCGATGGAGCATAACCACAAGTCTCCGACCTAAGCCAAACTTGAGAAGTATACTATTTCGTAACATCTAATTCCACTAATATGCGTGCCGTAGAGGGTTTCGAGCAATTAACAGCCGTATTATCCGTTCGTAAAGGTCTACCAAACAGCGACCCAAAACCATGCAGAATCCGGGGGGAGAAAAGATAAGTACGCAGACATGGAAAAGAATCCCAAATAGGGACAATGAGAGATTTCACATTAATGTCAAAATGTGGGGTCTATTTGAAAAGCTTCATGAAGTAGTTGCACACGAAATATGAGCGATGAGAGAAAACCCTACAATAATCTAAGTCATACCTGTTAACGGCGAATGGCGCATCATGGCGCAAAGATTCATTTGGATCCATGGCGCATAGCGCACGGCGCGACGCACGCTATTTTGAACATGGCGTAAGCTATATAAAAATTATAAAATAATAAGCATGAATATGCAATATTATTAAAAATGAAAGACAAGCTATCATAATAATAAAAGACTTCATAATCCTCTTCATCACCTTCGGTACCGCTACTTCATAATCCTATAAGTACTGAATTTAACATTTTATAATCACCTAAAAGAAAACGAATTTAGATTTTAGATAAAAGAAACATAATATTGTCCAAGAAACATAATATGGGGGCTGCCGGGGGGTCCAAGGGGGCGCTGCCTCCTGGCGGGGTTTCCACCTGATTGTACCGAGTGGTACAAAGCATGTAACTAGTGGTACCGAGCGGTATAAAAAATATTCATAAGTATACCAAAATTTAAAAACAATTTGGCGCGCTATTTTGCGCCGTGCGCAATGCGCCATGGCTCACATGTGGCACAAATAGCGCGCGTTATTTTAAACACATGCGCCTCGCCATGAACATGGCGCCGTAGGTGCGTCGCGCCGTGCCGTGCGCCATGGCGCGCGCTATTTTGCGCCATTGACAGCTATGATCTAAGTCATTAACAAGCTTAATCAACACATTTTTAGGATTCAGTAAAGTAACCAAAAAATCTCCAACAAGCTTTTAGGTTAAATTTTTTTTTTTCAAATTAAGTCAAGCGGTGGGCGATGGCTGGGAAATTTTTTGACTAAAGCAAACTCGAAAGGCAAAACAAGAGATGTAATTTTCTCATCAGAGATAAACAAACCCGACAAACCATGGTGAAAAGAAACTTTAAGCGGGGGAAAATCCGGTGAAGCCGACTCACCGGATAAAACATCTCTAAAAGATCTAGATTTAACTTTACCATCCAAGAAATTGGGGTCTATTAACCGATTCCTAGCCATAGGAAGGGAAACGGAAGAAAAAACCAGCTAAGATTAGGGAAGAAAGGTTACCCAACAGCAGCAGCATACAGAGGCGGAAGGCCCAACAACCATAGTGAAAAAAAGGGACCACTTGCGGCTTTGATTTGAGTGAATGGAGGTGCCTAGGTCAAGCGAATCGGGCTAGGTATTGACGAAGGCGGACGCTAGACGCTACGCTCGATAGGGGCTGGATGTCGGGAGGGAGCATTTTGACGAGACTACTCTGATCAGAACTTATGAATATGAAAGAATAACATAGTAAAAGTTACCAAATAAAGAAATCCATGCCTTATGGAGGTTATTTTCCTCCAAATTTTGTTGTCATATTTGTGTCACAAGTTTTAAGAAATCAAAATCTTTTATTATGCAAATATGCAATTGAATATCTAATTTCTTGCCTCAAGTTTGTATTTATAATAATCTATGATGCACGGACACGGACACGTCGACACGGACACGACACGACATAGACATGGCATTTTTTAAAAATATAGGACACGGTGCGGCGTGGACACGACATAATAATTTTTTAATATAATATATAGAAATTAAGGTCACATTATATTAAAAATGACAAGAAATAATAAATCAATTTCATGATAACTTGTTTAGCTTATAATATAAAGATGTTTAGTACAAAATGTCTAGTACAACTACAAAAATATAAGCAAAAAATCATTTAGTACAACATGAAGGTCCAACTACTCAATAGAGGGAATGGTAGAATTAGATTCAGAGGTTGATCTTTGGCCTTCAATATCATCATCATTGAATATCTTTGCTTCCAACTCTGGTTCATCTAGAGAAAGATTTGCAACATCCAATAATCTCATATCATCAAGACACTCGAACCCATCTCCAACAACATCCCACATTTTGTTATCACATGTCATATAAAGTGGGATTTTCCTTGATAGAAGACGAAGATTTGTATGCACATAAACTAAATCTTCAGCTCGTTGTGCAGTTATTTTATTCCTCTTCATTGATTGAATAAATGAGTATGTGCTCCAATTTCTCTCACAACAAGAAGATGATGATACTTGAAGTTCTGCTTATTTTTAAAGTTCGTAAGTTAGTTGTATGGAAAGATATCGAGCGGTACCGAGCATGTACCGAGCGGTACCGAGCATGTACCGAGCGGTACCGAGCATGTACCTAGCGGTACCGAGCATGTACTGAGCGGTACCGAGCTTGTACCTAGCAGTATCGAGCATATACTGAGCGGTACCGAGCATGTACATTAGTTTTATTTTGGTAAGTTTCAAAAAACAACAATTAATATTTCAGGCGTCGAGAGTCAGGCGTCGATGCCATTTAGCAATCACCGAGAGAGGAGATGAAAATATCTTCACTGCCAAAAAGAAATGAAAATGAGAATAATCGATGATTGGGAATTAAATGCGGACGTTGATTTGGTGTTATGGATAGGAAATAAGAAATTTAGTTTAAATCCCACAAAATACAATAAATTATATTTAAAAAATTCATAAAATATTTAAGATATGCGTGTCGGACACGCGTGTCCAATTTCCATTTAATATTTTTTAATCGGACACATTTTCGGCGTGTCCGACACGTGTCGGAGGAGTGTCAGACGAGTGTCGTGTCGGACACGGTGTCGGACACTGCAAGCCTCTTTGAGGAGAAGTGTCGGTGCATCATAGATAATAATTCAACCTCCGTTAGTTGGTAGTGGGTGACACCTAATTCCAGTGGTAGGAGCCTTGGAAGTTGTTTCCAAGGTCTTGGGTTCTAAACCCCATCTTGTGAACTTTGGGTTGGAAAAAAGGTAAGCTTCCTTAGTAGCTCATGGATTTCTCAAATTCAGTGAGATTATGTAATACCATATCGTGAAATTATAGTTGAAGCCATAGAAAACCACCATAGCAAGGTTTCCATAATCAGTGTCACTAAAACCTACCAACAGAAGATCATATAGATAGACATGAAGCAGTACTAGTGATCATGAAATTTGTGCATACTAGTTTGATAATCAAATAACGATTCCATCTCTAAGTATACCTAAACCATGTGAAGCATAGGATTAGCCTAGGATTTAGTGCCTAAATGTAGGAACCCATGAATTTTTAAACCCAACTACAACAATAACTTCAAGCTTTTATTCCACTATGTGGGATCGGCTACATGAATCCTTTTTCTCTATTGTGTCATATTAAGAGTCAAATTCTCATTAAATCTAATAAAAAAAATATCATTTCTAATACTTTCTAACCTAGTCTTTTTAAGTCTACATCTACTTTTCTTAACATTGGTTAGATCTAATTCATCTACTCTCATAACCAAGTCATTTGAAGGTCAACATTTTATGAGACCAAATCATCTAAGGCGACTCTCTAATCTTATCTGCGATTGGAGCTACTCCAACCTTTTTCCGTATATACTCGTTTCACATTTTGTTTCTAAGTGTAAAGCTATTAACCCAGAGATGCAAAATTGTCAAATCAATGATCTAGGTGAACTAAGAATACAGAAATTGTACCAGTCTAAATTACCAAATCAGACTAGGTATCCATAATCAATGCTACTAAAAACTTCCAGCAGAAGATCATACAAATAGACATGAAACGCTACCAATGAGATCATGAAATTGGCAGCTACAAGTTTGGTAATTAAATAACGATTCCATAAAGAACCACAATAGCAAGGTTTCCATAATCAATGTCACTAAAAATTGCCAGCAAAAGATCATACATATAGACATGAAGCAATACCTATAGAGAACATGAAATTTGGCTACAAGTTTGATAATCAAATAATGATTACATATCCAAGTATAATTAAATCGCATAAAGCATAAGACTGGCCTAGGGTTTAGCGGCTAAGCAGAGGAGCCAATGAACCTATAGGCCTAGAGATGCAAAATGGTAAAATCAATTAAGTAGCTGAGCCAATAAATCTAGATACTGTATCAAACTAAATAACTAAGTCGTACTAGGGTATCATAACATTAGAGAACACAATCGATTCTCCTAGACAACATTATTATCGCAGGCAAGAGAAAAATGTGAAATCAGAAAACCACAGAAGAAAACTATGTAATGCTGAAACTTAAAACTAAAAGGTATCTAAGATCATTTATTGGCTTGACGTTTTTCGAGATTGTAAACTTGTAGAACTGCATTACTAAAATTGTGTTTTTTTCAACACTTAGCGTCTAAATTTGCGAATAAATGGAATTGAGAACAAATATGTTGTATGTGTACCTGATATCAAACTTAATGCCTGTTTGCGATCTTTTAATTACTCAATGCGTACATTACTGTAGGGGGATAATCAGCTCTTTGATCTTCCGATAAACCAAAAAACAGATATTAGCACCATAATGTATACTAGTGGAACAACTGGAGATCCTAAAGGTGTTTTGATTTCGAATGAAAGCATCATAACACTTGTTGCTGGTGTAGTTCTGCTGCTCCAATCTGCGAATGAAGAGGTAAATAATATGTTCTGGAATTGCTACTACCAGATATTATTTTAAAATTTCTCCGGGCTCAATTGTCCAAATGGCAAGTTTCATTTTTTGGTTCTTTTTTCTGCCTCATGAATTTTGAAATTTGAAATTTTTAGATGTTCTTTTAAAATTTTCAGCTCCGTGATGACGATGTTTACTTGTCCTATCTACCTTTGGCACATATTTTTGATCGGGTAGTTGAAGAGATGTTCATATTTACTGGGGCTTCCATTGGCTTTTGGCAAGGGGTAAGCCATTCTGTAGCAAAACGTTTGGTCTGAGTAGACGTTAACTAATTGTGCTTTTTGTTTTCAGGATGTTAAACTTTTAGTGGAAGACATAGCGATGCTAAAACCTACTATATTTTGTGCTGTTCCACGTGTACTTGATCGAATTTATAACGGTACTTTATCATTTTAAAATTTTATGCAATCTTACCGTGTTTTCTACTTAAATTAATGTTGGATAAAATGGTTTTGGTATAATTTTGAATGATATAAATTTTATATCTATGAGATGATAAACAAAAGGGTAATATGGCTACAAGGTGGACAAAAAATTACCTAAATTAGGGCTCAAATAGTTGGGATGAGACCACTTATAAAATGCAATTAGATATGCATCAACCAAGATAACATGCACTGGTATATGCATGATATGATCCGGACGTTACCGCTTATGGTACACTTTTCTGTTCTTCTAATTGCTAAGATTGAATAAATGACATTGTTTTGTTTCTCTTTTTAGAAGGGAAAAAAATGAACTCAAGTAGAACTGTAGCTGAACTGTAGCTTTATCGTAAAAACCTTAGTTAGAAATTGAAATTCTTATGTAACTGACACGTTTAAAGAGTTGATTATGTATTTGAGATGATTTGGTTGTTATTTATTAAGATTCTAACATTTTGAAAAATGACTTGAACTTCTAAAAATTTGACTCATTATTGAATTTTGAATGCTGCTAGGAAAACGTCATTATGAAGTGCAAAATTTGAATATCTTTTCTTTGTGATCATCACCATCATCAACTTATCAACTCATATCGATTGGGTGTCTTAAAACTTCCTTTGTAACATATTACCTGATTGTGCGAGGAACGAATGGAATCATCTTGTGCGATGGTAACTGAGAAAAACTATTAATTTGTAAAATGATCTTGGGGCTTCAGCTCTAAGCTTCACCAATTATCATGCCGCTGAATAAGAAACACATGGTGGTGCTAGTAGTTACAGAATAAAGCCGACTTAATTAATTTGTTTTGAAGTGCGACATAATACAAAAAGGTTTGAGATAATTTTTATCTCCAGCTCAAAATTTTGGTGATCAACATTAAATAAAGGCAGCTTGAACTTAAAACCCAACACAAAATTCTTTTATGATCTGAGGCACTTTCTTACTTTATGCTTGATATAATCTCATGCCTAAGCTCAGTCACAACTTTTAAGAAATCAAAATCTTTTATTATGCAATTGAATATCTAATTTCTTGCCTAAGCTCAGTCATTGGTCATAATTTGGCTTGGGTTTCGAGATTAGACTTTGAATCACAGTTGGAAAATCCTCTTCAAGAGCCATGTTATCTTCATATTTTGCCTCATCGGCCTGTTAATACTTCATCTATCAATCATCATCTTAAGAATACTTTCTTGAAATTTTAAGGTCAATCTCGAGAAAAAATTAAGACTCAAGTTTAAGTACATCATAACATTCGGGCTCGATGCAGAGATGATGGAGTGGACTATTATTGTTTTGAAAGTAACACCTATGTTGCACTGATACATCTATTTATGAAGGCGTGTTATATCCGATACACGGACACGCCTCCGATACACAGATACACCTCCGATATGGCACCGATACGTGTTGGATACGCTTTGTCGCATCCAATTAAAATATTATTTAATTTCAAAAAAGACACGCGTATCTGATACGCTGTCCGTTGAAAAACAAAAAAAAAACTAGAAAAAAGACCCGTCGTATTTACTTCTGTGGCTGCGAGCGAGGTTCTTTCATTTCCTAGATGGATTTGAGTCTCTTGATGATATGGAAATATTATAAATTGCTAATCTTGAATTAGAAGCTATGATATTTATTGAAGATGATATAGAAGTTCAAAGACAAACCACTGAAGAAGCTAATCATATCATTCCTTCTATTGAATAGTTGAAACTTCTTGTGCTAGACAATTTATGTTTATGCTTTTGTTGTTGTACTGGACATTTAATGCGTACTTTTATTTTGATATTATAAGCTACAAGGCTACAAATGATGTTACTTTCATTTTTTTATATAATTTCAAATATTATGCTTTGATTGCTTTCTTAATTTTTTTGTATGATTTATAAGTTGTAATGCCATGTTCGCGCCTTACCCGTATTTTGTATTTTTAAGAATTAACTGTTCCGTATCCGTATCGTGTCGTATCCATGTTGCCGTATCCGTATCGGTGCAACATAGGGTAACACTTAAGCATGGAGTGGACTATTGTTGTTTTGAAAGGTAACACTTAAGCATGAAGTGTGAACAACAAGTTTTTAGATAGAAGTTAGATGTTTGTTGGTCATTTGTTGAGACTTGGGAAAATATCAGTTTTTTGGACTACGAATGTGTATTTATTGATGATAAGAATATGCATAATAATATAAAGCATAGGATTCATTTGTTTAAGCTCGGAAAATGATCAATAGCATATCATATGACTATTTTGAACAAGGATATTTATTGTGGCAATTATATATATATATATATATTTATTGTGGCAATTATATATATATATATATATATAAAGTGTCAAAAAAGAGATATTTTAGAAGGAGAATTTAGAGGTGTAGAAAAGAGTCACTATTGAGAGGCAATATTCACGGAAGTGAGAGGAAACTTCTTCCACTTTTTTTTTTAATTGCCTAGTTCTTTAATAAAAACAATAGTATTCTTGAATTAAAAACATTACCTACTCGATATGGTAGTTGGATCTCTTTTTAATGTATAGGCAGTGGGTTCAGATTGAATTTGTATGAAGATATTTACATTAAATTTACTTTCAATAACAATAGTTATTAAGCTATTGAATTTGTGCATTAAAGTCATAAAATTCAAATCAGGTGATAAGCTAATGATTTGTTTAATTTCTAAAAAGTTTTCCTTAAGAAAATTACTGCTAGGAAAACAAAATTATATTATGTCATATAGCATGTTGATGAATGTTTATAAGTTGTAAATAATTTTTTTTTGATTATTTATTTATTTGATTTAACTTTATATCATGGATCATCAAAGAATTCCTTGGATTATGTTTTTTTTTTAAAATCTCATCCTTCATAATTCACATCAAGTAAATCATAGTATCATACACACGACTCTACGGTTTTCATAGTATCATATACACGACTATTTTTTTTTTAAACTTGAGTAGATTGATGTAGGATTCATATCTATTCCTTTTGTTATGGGTATTCAATGATTATGACTTCTAGGCTCCTGCTCCATGTGGTTACCTTTGCTATAGGATTAAGGTTCTCCACTGAATCACTAATTGTAATTGTTAGTCATGGGATTTCTATGCCTCTCTTCTGTTGACCTCAATAATAGTGTCGGGATCAAGTCGACCGCGCACGGTGAATTTTGAAAGAGAAAGAGCTCGAAGTCGCATGAAATTTACCTGATGCGTGTCGATCAAAAACCAAAATTGCCAAAATAGCTGGACAGAGCCAATGTGACAAGAGCAGTGGAAACAATTAAGATTGACACTCATTGATTAGGGTCGTCGATCGACAAAAATTAAATGGTGCGTGCGGATGAAAGCACGATTAATCTAAATAATTATTTACTATTATAAAATTTTTACTTTTAAATAATTACTTTAAGTACTTGTGACCACTTTTCTTAGTAGGTGGGGAAATTCGTAGGCATGATATACATTACCTGTGATTGCTTTTTTTAGCAGGCGGAAAAATTTATTTGCATGAAAAATTTTAAGTACTCGTGACCATTTTTCTTAGTAAGCGAAGAAACTTGCTATTATATATATATATATATATATACTAAGTAAGCTATTATATATATATATATATATATATATACTAAGTACCCATGACCTTTTTTATTAGCAGGCGGGGAAATGTTATACTTTATAAACAGGTACTTAAAGATCTATGATTGTCTTTCTTGGCAGGCAATGAATGAAATTTCGACCATAATGTTACCCAACACCTACCGTGACTACCTTTCTTGGCAGGTTGGAAGGCTTAGTACCCTAATGTAGCCCTCTACGAGGGACGATACCGTGGTGTTATCGAAATTTATAAAAAAACTACATGACTTAGAAGAAATTTATTAAAAATTAAAATATATTTAAGCTCATAAGTCAACAAACTTAAAAATGCACGACATACTTGGTTCCAAACACTATAAATGAATGAAAATTAAAGCATAATAGAAAAGAACTTGCAGTGAACTTGTAGGAGAACTAGTTGTTCACCAATTTGTAAAAGTTTCCCTCCCTTTGCTCCTAGCTAGTGCACATGCAAACCCCTTGCAAGATAGGCTTTGTGAATAAAAATGTGCAAAGGAATAAATTAGGGCCGGGTTTCCTATTTAAAACCCAAAAATTTATCCCTTTGTGTGACCTGCTGAGCCAAATTCTAAATACAGAATGACAAGGGAAAGGTCACAGGTGCACAGTTGCCCTAGGTAGCGTGCATACCACCTATTCAAGTCAGGAGACTCGTACGTTCCCCATGAATGTGTCGTACACCCCATGAACATTTGCCTTTGAAAAATAAAATAAATAGGACACTTTACATGTCACAAATTGTACGACCTTTAATTAAAGTGTGCACGACGTGCAAAAATTATTGAAAGAGGGTGTTTCTTACAAGCCCCTATTGTATAATCTACATACAAATGCGCTATATATATACATAAAGTGGCATGTATGTATACCGCCAATCATATGAGTGTACTGTATAACATACACACATATTGCTAATAATGCAAGCCATCTTATATATATGCTAATGATTATGCCATTATGCAAGTGCATCGAGATTCATGCGGGTGCCTCAAACAAACGCACTAAACAAAATGTACAAGTGCACTACACAATTATATCATACACCATGCACGTGTATTAAGTACACATATCGTTGATCACGCAAACATGTAATCGAATTGTGTAAGTGCTCCATGAAAGTATATCACACATTCAAATGCATCACTCACATTTACCACTAAACATACAAATACATTATGTGTGCATGCTACGATACTTGCAAAAACATCATAAACCATGCAACATATAGATGTAGCAGACATACACGCCAGAGAATATGCAAATGAATTATGCGTGCATCATAAAGTGATGTGCAAATGCATCATCATGCAAATCATATATAGCATATTATGCA